CGCCAGATTCATCTATGAAAATTGGGATTCCATTTAATGTTGTTAGGAGTACGTCGTGGATCAATATGTTACGATATGTTGAAAGCTATGGAAGAGGATTACAACTTCCAAGCATGTATGGCTGAGGACTTGGATGCTGAATGAGGGAGGTTAAGACACTTCAAAAATGGTGGATGATGTTAGAAGACTTGGATTGAGACAGGAGTGACAATAATGTCAGATGGGTGTGCGAGATATTCGACATTTTGAGTCAGAAGTGACAATAGGGCTAAAGAAGATATTGCAAAAGAATTGAGAGGTCAAGAAAGTGCCTACAAAGAAATATGGGATATTATAGATGAAAAGTGGGATCGACAATTACACCAACACTTACATGCTGCTGCGTACTATTTAAATCCCCAATTTCATTATGATAAGGATTTTCATTGTTGACAAAGAGGTGAAAACTGGTTTGTATGCATGTATGGACAAACTCATTTCTGAAGAAAACTACCTAAAGTAAATTGATCAACTTGAAGATTTTCATTTTGAAGAAGGGAATGTTTGGATTTAGAGCAGCACAAACATCTACCAAACACGACTCCTGGTATGTTTATAGTATTGAGTATTTATAATTTTAATGTTAATATTTATGTTCAAGTCTTCTACTTCAACCAATATTCATAAAATACTATGTTTGTCTTCATGTAGAACGTTGGTGGGCTCAGTTTGGAGATGATGTTCCTGAATTAAAAGCTTTTGCAGTTAAAGTTCTTAGCCTAACGTGTTCGGCTTCTGCATGCGAACGTAATTGGAGCATTTTCAATCAAATTCATACAAAGAGGAGAAATCGATTGGCGGCAGATCGAATGAACAAACAGTTTATATTTATGTTTAACAAAAAATTAAAAGATAGATATCACAAATTGCGAGAATCAAGGAAATATTGAGAATGAAAATTGATCCTTTGCTTGTTGATGAGTTACAATCTGATGATGAATGGGTTACTCCTAAGAATGCTGATGTTTCTGAAGTTTAGAAGTTAGAAGGAGAAACTCATGTCAAATGAAGAAGATAATGAAGCAACTGCCCAAGTATATAAAAGGAAGAAACAAAGTGAGATTGAAGCTTCAAAAAAATTCAAAGGTATTCTTAAATATAATGAATTATTTTGTATGTTACTATTGTTTCATTTTTAGCTAATGAAATATTAACTGATATAGGAGATAAAGGAAAAAATATTATAGATGAAGAAGAGTTTGAGGATGACTTTGACATTAATTATGAAGATTCTTCTAAAGACAATCAAAGTGATGACGAGCCTGCTTTGGGTCTTGATCCTAAGGGATGTTTTATTTTTAAGTGAGTTTATTTTTAAATCTTGTATTCCAGTAATATTATTTATTTTAAAACAAATATTCAAATTCATAGTTGACATAATATATTTTGTCATTTTTTGTCATTATTTATAATTTTAAATTAATTTATTTTAATCGTTTTGAGGCTTACGCCTCGATCCGCCTCGAGGCTTATGCCTCGCCTCGTTTAGAAAAAACGCCTCGATTCCCGATTTCGCCTTTTAAAACCTTGGGAGAGATCTCTTGTTATTAATTATACTTAATTAAAATTAATTATATTTAATTATAATTAAGAATAATTAATTATTAATAATTAATAATAATTAATTACAACTAATTATAATTGAGCCTAATTAATAATAATTTAACATAAATTAATAATAAGATTTAATTAATTAATCATAATTAATTATAAGGTATATATAATAATCATAGATAATTAAATATTAATAATTAATTATAATAAATATAATTAATAATAAATTATTATAAATAAATATTATTAATAATAATTAAATATGATTAATGGTAATTAATCATAAATAATTATACTTAATAATAAATAATTATATTTAATTATACTTAATTATAACTAAATAGAATTGGAGTAGATTTGAATGGGATTTAGGCTTGATTTGAGTCAGGTTAGCCAAATCCTATTAAATGAGATTAACAGAGAGTTTTACTTTCTTAAACAGAGAGTTAAACTCTCTGTTTTAGGTGACCCGGTTACAGAAGCGCGCGGAAGGTAGGGAGATGGCTACCTTCGCTCGAGCAAGCTCCCATTTTTGCTCCTTATCAAAATGTCGTGACTCCCGATCCAACAGGGACAAGCGTCGAAGGAGCAAAAGCCGACCGACAACAAAGGAGGAGGCGGAGAGGCTAGGGATTCGGCTAGGGCTTGTGAGGTGGCTCGAGGATTTGGTCGGAGAGGGTAGGAAGAGGGCTCCCCTCTTCTCTCTCTCTCTCTCTCCTCTCTCTCTCCTCTCTCTCTCTCATCTCTCTCTCTCTTACGATCAGAGGCGGCTCGGACGTCGTCGGGTTAGGAGCTTCGGCACAGTTGGATCTTCTGGGCAACAGGCAGGGTAGGAGGAGATCGCTGTGGAGGAGGCAAGAGTGAGAAAGAGAGAGGGATTTTTCGTCTGTGAATGGAAGCGTGGGAAGAGCGAGGGCTTTGGGTCGGAGTATTAACGACCATCTGCGGTCGGTTCAATCGAGGCAAGTTCACGGGATAACGGATGATTCACTGAGAGGCGCCGCCCCGAATTCTAAGCAGGATATCAGGAGGCCTCGGCGGAATTTTTGCAGGCATTCGTGGATCCGACAGGTATATTTATTGATTAAATTTGTTTTTGTTCCTTCTATACAGAGGTTAACACTTCTCCATCAAAACTCTCAATAGAAAGTATACTTCCATAGTAGACCTACCCGGCATGCATCCAAATTGATTTTGAGAAAAATTAGTGTCACATCGCAACTTACGCTCCATAACTCGCTCCCGTATTTTTAAAGTATGACACATTAATTTAATTCTTATATAATTCGCACAATCATGTGCATCACCTTTATTTTTAAATATAAAATCAACACACTCATTCTCCATTCATCTGACATCTTTTTAGTTTTCAAAATAATATTAAAAAGTTTAGTAAGCCAAAAAATTTCTTCAACTCTTAAGCATTTCCACCTCTATTAAAATATTATCAGGTCCAACAGCTTTTCCACACTTTTTTTTAAGCCGCTCTAACTTTCATTTTACTAATAAGCTGCAAAAAACAAAAATCCCTATTATTTAGGATGCTAAGGTCAGTAAAGTTAATCAAATTCTTACAAACTTCATTGAAAAGCTTATCAAAATAACTCAACAACTTTTGTTTAATATCCACTTCTAATAAAAAAACTTTTTGATATTCATCATTAATACAATTCACTTTAACTAAATCTTTATTTCTCCTATCTCTTTATCTGGCTAACTCATAAATATATTATATAAATCATTAAAAGCTAAGATCTTTGCATCGTATATTACTTTCTTACTCCTTACGGGCCTCTTTCTATCTTTCGCATTTTTCAGAGTTTTTACATTTGAACCAATTTTCATAACAAGGCTTCTTATTTTGATATTTTCTTGCACATTTTTATTCCACCACTAATTATTTTCCTATTAGGAGTTTTTATTTTTGATACTCCAAGCACATACTTTGTAATATTCTTAATCACTAGCCAAGTTTTCCAACATAGCATTAGCTTCCTCATGTACAGACCAAATCTTAAGATCTAGAATTTTACTCAAATATTTTTATTAATTTTCTTTAAATACCACCATCTAATCCTAAAATAATGTTTTATTTTATTTTTTATATTATGCTCCATTCATTTTAAAGTCCAAAACTAATAAGCAATGTGGGTATATAAACATTCACTCGAAATAATTTTATAATATTTTCAATCTAAATGATCTATTTTTCTTATAAGAAAATAATCAATCTGAGTTTTACTATATCCATTCTTAGAAGTGATGAGATGCTCATCTCTTTTCTTAAATAAAGTATTATCAATTACAAAATCATAAGTTATAACAAAATCTAATAAGATTTTACCACCTTTATTAGTTGCTCCAAATTCATATCCACCATAAATATTTTTAAAATTATTTACCGCTCTACCAATATGTCTATTTAAATCTTCTCTAATAAAAACTCTTTCTTTAAGAGGGTATATTTTGTATTAATTCTTCCAAGTCACTTTAAAATTTTAATTTTGAACACATATCAGAACCTACTTATTGAAGGAATTGAAGGGGAAAAAAACTTGTGCATCCCAAAGCTTGCATTTCATGTTTTCCAAATTTAAATACTTATTATGAAAACTCTTTTGTTCTTTGGGTTATAAAGGTAAAATTATTAAAGTTGCTGGAAATAGCTTAATTTCAAGTAAAAAATCATCTCAGAGAAAGGCTCACAAGTTAAAAGGTCCTCACTCCTACCACAGCTGATAACTAAAAGTAAATCTCAAGTCATTAAGGAATTACTGAGCAGTGCTAACCTAATCACCTACATAAGCATAATAATAGGAAAATCAAAGCTCTACCATGACATCATAGGCAACCATACATGCTAGCCGATAGTCAAAAGAAATCACACATTGCACCACTACATCATAGCCAACAATACATCATACCAGATGAGCAAATGTAAATTTCAAGCCCTACCATTATAACATAGCCAACCAAGGTCGTCCAATCCCGTAAATTGTTCGAGGAAAGTCAAAAGTAACTCTCAAATGTAATAAAAAAATCTGATGTACTTTGCCAAGCTATTACCTATATAAAAATTTAGTAGGAAACCAAAGTTCTATCACTGGAGTTTCAAGTGCAGCAAAATTAATCGAGTTCAATTAAAAAAATGGAACTACTTGCAACTCGGTTAGCTTATTTGTATCTTACAATCTACCATATTATTATATTTTCAAGATAGAATGCAGCATGTGTATGCATCATTATATGATCACACATGCTGCACCCTTTTTTGTCTACAACCACCATCACTAACCAAAGCAACAAAAAGAACAACAGACTCATTGAAAGCAGCAACATTTAAAAAAAAACATGCATCATATGATAACTCTTTCAAACTGAAAAGAATACAAAGATTAAAAGGATACCTTTCCGAAAAAATTCACCAGTTGGCCCGCAAATGGAGTAATCTTCTCGCCCAAATGTTCAGTAAGCAATGATATTAAGTTTAGGACTTGAACCTAAGAGTAACGAGTAAGCAGTAAGTTGCAATAAACTACTGTAAATGCAAATGCTAAAAGTATTATAGCATATGTAACACAGATCTAATAAAATGGTGATAGTAAAATAGATTCATGTTTCCGGATGAGCTTGAAAAACAAAGGAAGTCCCGGATGGTTGCACCTTTACGATAGAGTTAAGTGAAACAAAACCTTATAAAGATAAATGGAATCTAATGCATAAAATAAAAGATAAATAAGAAAATTACATAGATCATAAGTCATGAAAGCTCATGCAATATTAAAGTCTGTAATTCCAAAGCTGGTATCAACCAGCATTCACATCATGGTTCCATGTAAGGACGGATAAATCTTTGCAGCGACTTTTTAAACTATTGATGTTGGGACATATGAACGAAATAGAAACAGATCTAAGTTGGCAATAGATAAATAGAGTTGTAAGTTAATTGAAGCCAAGAGTTTAAATCAAAGCTTTATTTCGAAAGAGTGCAACACCATGGTTCCACACATACAAAAACTTCGGACTATAATATAGGAAGACTAAATATTAGGTATATTTCTTGTATCATTTGCTTACATGACAGCAGATATAAGAAAATAAATAGAATATCTGTAGCATATGAAAAAAAATAACTCAACTCTGATGCTGAATTTGAATTAACCATGTAAGACATTTGCAATGTGATGTTCAAAGTGGCTACAACAATAACAATAACATAATCAACTTGTTATCCCACTACCTAGGGTTGACTACATAAATCTATGATGCACCGACACTTCAGCTCAAAGAGGCGTGCAGTGTTCGACACCGTGTCCGACACGACACTCGCCCGACACTCCTCCGACACGTGTCGGACACGCCGAAAACATGTCCGGTTAATAAATATTAAATACAAATTGGACACGCGTGTCCGACACACATATCTTAAATATTTTATGAATTTTTTTAAATATAATTTCTTGTATTTGGCGGGATTTAAAATAAATTTCTTATTTCCTATCCACAACACCAAATCAACGTCCGCACTTAATATCCAATCATCGAATATTCTCATTTTCATTTCTTTTTGGCAGTGAAGGTATTTTCATCTCCTCTCTCGGTGACTGATAAACGGCATCGACGCCTGATTCTCGACATCCTAATACTAATCATTTTAAGCACAAATTCTATTTAAATGGCTTATTATTTTCAAATTATTTTTAAAATTATACTTATTTAATTTTTATACACTATTTTTTAAATATAAAAACTATAATAACGTGTCCAACCCGTGTCCGTGTCCTATATTTTCAATAACTAACGTGTCCCGTGTCCGTGTTGTGTCGTATCCGTTTCGCCGTGTCCGTGTCTATGCATCATAGACATAAATCCTTTTTCTTCATTGTGTCATGTTAAGAGTCAAATATGAATTTGAATTTAATTTTAAAAAAAAAACTCATTTCTAATATTTTCTAGCCTAAAAATAGAAAACCACATCATATGGAAGGGTTGAGAAATAAATTTTTTTAAAAGTGCCTTTAAATGTTCAGTGGGGGAGGATGTTAAGCAATGCTGGTAAGGCTACAGCATTCAATTGAAGGCCTATAAGCTAGAAAAGGTTTGATTGGTGGACAGCTGTGGACAACTGAAAATAAGGATAAAGAGAATAGATGCTATCATGATCCAGTCCGGAGGCTCAAATTAACGAGATGAGAATAGATAGTCAAACGATGGATTTAAATTTTCATTTGCTAAAACTATCTCCAATAAACTAAAAAAACCACTAAAAACATCAAAACATTTAAAATTAAATTATATAAATACATTTCTCTTGGAGCATCTCGCCTAGAATATACATTATCTTCTATTCTATTTATTTTAAGTTAATCAAATAATACATGTGAATGTTATTGAAAATGAAAGTGAGTTATAAAAGAACTCAGAGAGTAAATCATTTTTCTAGATTACAATAACACAAGCTATTGAGAATAATATGTTTGCTCGGTTTCAAAACATAAGTTAATTCTAATTAAACATTTAAACATGTTCATCAATATTATGCATATTTTATATCTTTATCCTTTCTTGTAAATAATACAACCATCACAGAAAATATCGTCTAAAATAGTATCAATGAAGATACTCGTTTTCAATTTTCTATAACCTTTTTCATTTACGTGCATCCTAGTCATCTAAGCCCTCGCCCATGCTCGAGTTCTTCCACGCTCACCGTTTAAGCTCGGTCACTCTCCGATTTCCTTTTCATTTTTTTTGCTATCGCTTGGCCTCTTATATAGATACCAAACCCTTTTGCTTGAAACAACGCTTCCATTTCGTCTTCTTCACCTTCATGCAATCGAAACGGCTTGCTTGTTTTGTTTTGCAACTCCCAGCGGCGAAAAATGGCACCGTTTCAATTCATCTTCATCGATAATTCCTAAAATGACAAAACCGGCCCTCCTTCAACTTCAATGACTCCAATCGACTTCTCTTGCGTCTTCGTCTTCTTCATCTTCGCGGAATAATTTGGGATATTACAGATGCCACCAATTGTAATGCCTTGAACGATAAAAAGAGGGAGAAAAAGAAAGAAATGGTAGAGGTTGAGGGAGTTTTGTGAGGAATCATAATTTTCAATTTTACTCCATCCAACTAGATTATTACATAGGCAAATAGATGCGGAGTCCCGTTAAAAAAAATAATAATAAATGAACCGACTAATTAGAGTTCATGTAAACAGACATTAGTCGGTTTCACTTATTGGAATAGTGAGAAAGGGGAGATGAATGGGGACTGAGGGAGATAGATAGGGATAGTCAAAGCATGCAATGGCCGAGTGACTAAGAAATACAGAGAGAGAGAGAGAGAGGGTGTGTGAGGAAGGAGAGATCTAGACCAATGAAAAGAGGAATCATAAAAGTGAGATGAAGAGGAAGAGAGTGCGAGTATGAACTATCGACCGAGAAAACAAGCTAGGGCATTAATTTCAATCTATTCTTCCTCATGGATTTGAAGCAAGATAAACCTAAATATATTATTAAGTGTTCTTTTATCCATATAAAGAATAAAATTTATGTGAGGGAAATCATTCTAGGTTTTCTTAAATCATTAAGAAGGAAATTTATATCAAATTTCATGACATCCCAAAAATCTATGAAAAATTATATGTTTATCTAAATTATGCTTAAAATGAAAATACTATTAATTGATGAACATTTGTGGGCTTAGCTCCCATATTTTAAGTTGCATGCTAAAATTTTAACAAGAAGAAGCCTTCATCTCACTAGATGGGGTCGGCTACACAAATCTTTTTTCTTCATTATGTCCTATTAAGAGTCAAATTCTCATTTAAATATAATAAAAATGGATTATTTCTAGTACTTTCTAATCAAGTCTTTTTAAATCTACCTTTACCTTACTTAACACACGCTGAATCTAATACATCTACTCTCCTCATAGAGTCATTGGAAGGCAGATATTTTATGTGACCAACCCAACTAAGGCGACTCTCTAATGTTAGTTGTCATTAGAGCTACTCCTTCCTTTTTCAAGTATACAATCATTTCGCATTTTGACTCTACGTGTGAAGTCACTCATCCACCTAAGCATTCTCATTATTGAAACACATAACTTAATAATATACTTCTCTTTTAATGGCTAACATTTTGCACTATAAATAAAGCATTGCAGGTCTAACCACCATCTTATTAAAGTTTCCCTTAAGTTTGAGGGACACTTTTCCATCACACAACAAGCATGATGCATTCCTCCACTTCAACCATCCAACTTGAATTGTACAAATAATATTCCCATCTATTTCACCATCACTTTGAACAATAGATGCAAAATATCAAAAATGTATACTCTAATTAATGACTTGATCACCCAAATTCACAATACCCTACTTGATTTATTATTAATAAAGTTATTCTATATATTTAGTTTTAGATCTACTCAAACGAAAGCCTTTAGACTCTAAGGTTGACCACCATAATTCATGTTTACCTTCAACTCCCTCTCTAGTGTTATCAACAAGAAGAATATCATCAGCAAAAAGCATACACCAGGGATAGTGTTGCAAATCGCACCCTCAAAACCACAGGTAATTCTCCGTCGCTCATCGGCGAACTCCACCATCCCGACCTCATCGCTAGCAACACCACTTAGTTGCACTGTAAAAACCCACACAACCAGGAACTTCTTAATGAGTTTCCTCTATCTCACCTGCTCTCCTGCACACACTTCCTCTAAAGCAACTCATCATAAAGCCCACAACCCCAACTACCTGCTGGATCTATCTTAAGTGAAATTCAACTCACAATTAATAATCAATCTCCCAACGACATTGCCTCCCCTCCAAAGGTCTTCAAGTTTTGGCAAAGCTCACATCTCATATGATGACCTTCAATTTCAACAGACCAACAAAAATTTCAAACCAATATCATTGACAACCTTTAATGACTACCACACCACACCCAGTCATCTCTACTCTCTCGCTGAAACTCTCTCCCATTCTAACAATATTTATGAAGACTTTCAAGTTTCTAAGGATATATTTCCAAAGTTGTAGTCATATACTTGATGGTTTGTTAAAGAGCATTCTCCTGATATTGTAAAGATAATGATGTTAATTTCCGTTGTCTTTACCTCCTCAAGATGGATGTCATATTTGCCTACTCATTTACGAGAGATTTTTCATTTTTCCCTTCTCATTGGGATGGCTATCTTTAGCTTTGTAATACAATCAACAACCTTTAGTTCTTCCTCCAACAATATTTTCACACACTAGAGAAGCCTTTTTTTGCAGCATGAAGGATAGATATTTTAACAGTGTAATAAATTTAAAAGTCTAATCATTAGTATTGAGTCATATTTATGTCAAAATATTTGGTTATTTATTTTATATTGTTTGTTTATTTAACATTAGGATGACTTTTTTATTATCTTTATTAGTTAAGGGTAATTTCAACATTTCAAGATAGCCTAATTTCATAAATAGATCCTAGAGTCATGCAATTCAGTCATAATGGATCTTGGAATAAAGAAAAGGTTTTCCTTTGGCTTCCCCTATCTAAATTTACTTTCCGCTCAAGAATATTTCTTATATTTCTCCCTCCACCTCATATCTCCCTTTGAAATGTTCATTTGCCTAAACATGCAAATGAACATCTTCTCCTTTTTTTTTATACATACATATATATATATATATATATATATATATATCCACCATGATCTTCATTTATGCTTTCTCTTCATCACAATGCAATGCTAAATGTATTCCAAAGGTGAACTCATTAAGTCAAAACTGAAATAAAAGCTAGGCATTAGTTCCTACTTCCTCCGATTTGACTAGAATTCATGTCCTTAAACTTAAGGTTCCACTTTCTATTTTTGTACCCAAATAGTTCAAACACAGACCACTATGCATAATAAAGATCGAAAACACAGTAGCATAAAAATGCTTGATATACCATTATATTAAAGACTAACGATAAAGGCATGGACAAATGCATTCATGTGTTTCTTGAATGAAACTTAGAACAAACCTTCGAGTCCAACTCTTGAACTTCTTCCACCAATTTAAAGCAAAAAGTCCAGCATGTTGACAATAGGTCAAAAAACTCTTGTTCAGAAGAGTTGGAATCTTGAACAAGATAGCACAAAGAACGACAGGCTGCAAGCTGTAAACGAAAATCAATCATCAAAGTTAATTAATAAAAGCCAAAAAAAAGTGAACATAAAGTTGAAATCATTGGCAACATTTTATAGAATTAGGATAGAAATTGACACTGCAACTGTACAATTACTCAAAGAAGAATTTCTAAATAAAATAAATGTACAGAGCATGGAAAATTAAACAAGCCTTAGAAGACATAGAATCACATAGAATGTGTTGCAACACATTATCATATAAAAGAATAAGAGCCTAACAACAAGCATACTCTAACAGCAATGTCATTGTCCTGAAGCAATTTGATCAGAGCATGATATACTAGCTTTCTGGTGTCTCCTTTAATCTGTAAGAGATTTAGGATAAAAAATTGTTATTCATAAAATAGATAGATCTAGTACATAGCAACATTTTCAAGCTAAGAAAACAAAAGAAATTACTCCGAGAAAAATCAAACAAATCACATATTATAATATTGTACTATTATGTGAAAAGTAAATATAATCCAAAAATTATACACCCAAAATGCCAAAAAGCCACCGACTGGATATTGTGGCACTATTTCAAGTAACTACATCAGATAAATAACATAGTTTTTGACATTTTTATGAATAAAACGGAGGACATGAAAACATAGATGATATAAACCGTTCAGCTAGAAAACACATCACTTCTAGCCATTTGACTATACTTTGAATGGTAAAACCTAAGAATTACTAGTTACAATAATTAGAAATAAAATTCCTAAATATTGCATGTTTATATATATATATATATATCAATTGATCAAGCTAGCATACATCCTCAATCCTTCCATGCACTCAATCGATATTTGCAAATCAATTTCCTAATCATCTTTATTTTATTTGGATAGAAAATATGTTCCAACCTCTCCTATGTTGCAGGGAGGCCCACGTCACCCAAGCTCCCATGATGGCATCCATTCCTCTATTTCTAATATCAACTTCTAGCAATTTTGCAATGATTTTGGATGAGATACTATCATTGACTATTCCTTATTTGTCTTTGATACTCATCATTATTATTGGTTCATAGAATCAGCCCACTTTTCTTGAACATGTTATTGATATTACTCTTGTCAAGCCGACTATTCCCACTCATTCCTTCACAAAAACAAGTAAAAAGAAGGGTTCTTTGCAGTTGACCATTCTGTAATATTTACTTTATTCTTTCAGAAAGGCTTGAATACTTCTCAACACAAATCACCTACTACCTTTCATGGTAAGCTGACTCTAAGATTTCTAATTTGACAGAAACATTTTTATTCATTTTGACTAGTCAATTTGCCTTTGATCACCGTTGTTTAGAGGTTATTCACATACTTATGTCTAATTTACATTTGATTGGTAAACTCTGTCAAAATTCTTTAACTGCCATAATGTGCTTACAAAATTACCATGGAAAGTGGATTATCGTAGAGTTTTTCCTTGCAGATCATATTATGTGAATGTTTTTTTTTAATGTTCTTCTTATGCACATGTTTAACACTGTCGTTGCCAGGTCCCAAGTCCTAGATGAGAAAAGTGGAGGGTTGCGTTAGGTAGTCGACAGCCAGCGTAAAATTTGTCGAACAATAATGACATGAATCCTTTAAGAAATTGTGTTAATGCTAGGGCGTCCCCTGGAAGCGACGCGCTGTATGGCCTGAATACAGTGACAAGTGTGCAAGGGCCGCTGCACCGGCGCTCGGGTGCAGTGTTAAATAGGCAATGGTTCTCACATCAAGGACGGATGTGGGAAAAGAAGCTAGTTCATGAAACTAAAATTATGATAGGAACTTGGAATATAGGTTCCCTTACAGGAAAATTAATGGAATTAATAGATATTATGATTCATAGAAAGTTAAATATTTTGTGCATTCAGGAAACTAAATGGGTTGGAGAGAAGGCTAAGGAAATTGATAGTTTAGGATTTAAACTTTAGTATTCGGATAGAAGTCGTACTAGAAATGGTGTAGGTGTTATTATAAATAAGAATTTAAAGGATAATGTTATAAATATTAATAGGATTGGAGATACAATTATAGATTTAAAGATTGTTGTTGATGATAAGATTGTTAATATTATAAGTGCTTATGCTCCTCAAGTAGATTTGGATTTGAGTTCTAAATAAAATTTTTGGAATGACTTAGAAGAATTAATACAAAAGATATCTCTTGAAGAAAGAGTTTTAATTGGAGGAGATTTAAATGGACATGTTGGTAGAGAGGTGGTTGATTTTAAAAGCATTTATGGTGGTCATGGATTTGGAACGACGAATGAAGGTGGCAAGACCATATTGAATTTTTGCTTAGCTTATGATTTTTCAGTTGCTAATACCTTATTTAAGAAAAGGAATGAGCATCTCATGACTTATAAAAATGGATATAGCAAAACCCAGATTGACTATTTTCGTATTAGAAAATTAAATCGCTTAGATTGCAAAGATTGTAAAGTTATTCCGAGTGAGATTGGAGCTTGATAAGCAACTACCATTGGGGGTTTGGGTTGAAGGTCCTAATGGTAGGTTCTTTCAAAAAGTTGAGTATGAGAGAATTTCTTCTCTTTGTTATATGTGTGGTAAGATTGGGCACTCAACTGATTCTTGTGAAGCTAAAGTGGTGAAAGAAGGCAATGATCATGTGGATGATAAAATTATGAAGGGAGCTAATGTACTTGAAGTGGATCCTAAAGGTTCTTTGTATGGACCTTGGATTCATGTCAATAACAAAAAGAAGAGATGGAACAATCTTCAAAGGAATAAGCCTGCCATTTCCAAGTTTGTTCCGATAAACAACAAGCAGAAATCTAATGGGAGAGAAGTTCAGGAAGAAGTTTTGGTGGCTGATTTACAAATTCCAGAGAAAATTCATCTGGCAGTGGAGGATAATCTGTTCCGAGCTTACCAAAACTGGGTGATTCTGTTTCTTCTGATTTGGAATCGGTAAAATTTACTCATACTGATTTTTCTTTACCAAGTAATAATAAATTTGAATTGCTTGGTGAACTTGAAGAGGAAATTGGTGAAAAAAGTGTTGTTGGGGACTGTATTCCTGTAAAGTCTGATATTGAAGAAGGGGAGTTTGTCACTACTGTAAATGATGAAGACTCTGTGGTGGAGAAGGAAAATTCTGAAACTCTTCCAGTGGTTTGACAATAGAGAGGTGGATAGTGTTGGTAAGGCTAAACCCAAACTTCAAAAGGAGCTTAGATTTTTGGGTCCTTTGAATCAATCTTCTAGACTTACTAAACAAGATGGACTAAGTAAAAAGAAGGGTGGGGACCTTCCCTCTTGGTGACCAAATGAGTTCGCTTGTTTTTTGGAATTGTAGAGGGGCAAATAAGAGGGAAGCCCCTCTATATTTGAAGGAGGTTGTCAAAGATTGGGAGGCTATTTATGTGGGCATTGTTGAAACTAAAATTGATGCTTTGGATAAATGGGAGTTTAGTAAATGTATAGGCAAAGATTGCGATTTCTTTCTTTATCCCTCTAATGGGATGTCAGGAGGTATAGTGGTGATGTAGAGGTCTGATTTGGCCAGTTATTCCTTAATTACAGCAAATGAGCAATGTGTGATTGGTAAGCTTTGTATAGCTAACAAAGGCACTTGGGTTATCTCTACTGTTTATGGTAGTAGAGATGTTTATAGTAGAAGGAATTTGTGGGATTGCTTAGGCTCACATTCTTCTATGGAGTTGTCTTATGTGATTGGCGGTGACTTTAATTGTATTCTTTCTCAAGAAAATAAGAGAGGGGGTAAGAAGTTCAAATTCTCTCTTGCTCCTCAAGAGATGAATTCCTTTATGAACCATTATGATTTTCATGATGTGGGAGTTATAAGGCCTAAATACACTTGGTGTAATAACAAAAGTGGGGGAGCCCGTATATGGGAGAGGCTTGATAGGTGTCTTCTCAATTCTAAGGCTTTGGAAATTCTCCCTCAAGCTGTTAACAGACATGTGGCTCGGGTGGCTTCAGACCACTGTCCAGTGGTTTTTCAGTTAGATATCAAGAATTTTCAGCATCCCAAAATGTTGCGGTTTGAAGACATATGGCTCTCTTATCCTGCATCCTTCCATGTTATAAAAAAAGCTTGGAGCAAGCAACTTAAAGGTGATCCTATGGAGGTGTTGAATAAGAAGTTTCATATTGTGTTAAGAGCTCTTTTCTTCTGGAGTAGAACTAAACACAGAAATCTTCTGGAACTTAAGGATAAACTCAAAAAAGAGGTGGCTGATTTGCAAATTGAAGAAGCTATTGGAGTTGGCAATCTTGAAAAAACTATTTTCTTGCTCAAATCTAAAGTTCATGAATTGAACATCACTCCAGCACGGTTAAATGTGTGGTGGAGACAAAGAGTGAAATTAAAATGGATAAAGGAGAGTGACATTAACTCTCGGTTTTTCCATGCATTTGCCAATGGTAGAAAGAATGGGAACTTTATAAAGCAAGTAAAGGATGAAGTTGGAAATATGGTTACTGATCAAATTTCCATTGAACAAACCTTCTTAAGGTTTTTTTCTCAAAAATGGAAGGAAAGGGACTGTATTATTTATGGGTGGCCGAACAAGTTGGAAACATTAAGCAAGGAGGATGTCAGTTTGCTGGATGCAAATTATACATTGGAGGAAGTTGAAAAAGTCATTTTTAGTCTTGGAAGCAATATTTCTCCTGGAATTGATGGTATTCCTTATTCCTTTATCAAAGCTTATTGGAAGCTAATTGCTCAAGACATTTGGAAGGCTATTTCTCATTTCATTTCTACGGGAAAGATGAATGCTAAGTGGAAAGAGACTTTGGTGGTCCTCATTCTCAAAGTTTAAAATCCGGTAGATCCTTCTCATTTTCGTCATATTAGCTTATGTTTGTCTATTTATAAAATTGTTGCAAAGCTTTTATTAAATAGACTTACTTTGGTATTCAATAACTTGATTTCGAAAAATCAAGCTGCTTTTTTAAAAGGAATATCTCTTTCGGAGCATGTTCTTTTGGTGCAAGAGTTATTTCGTAAATTTAGATTTTCTAAATCTAAGAAAGGGATGGTGGCGGTGAAAATTGATATGGAACAAGCATATGATTGTATGTCTTGGAATTCTTTGAGAAATATTCTGAATTACTTTGGATTTCCTATGGCTTTTTCAAATCTTCTTATGGAGTGTGTTATAAATCCAAAGTTTTCTATTCTTTTCAATGGCACCAAATCAAATTGGATTGAAGCTAAGAGTGGATTTAGACAATGATGTCCACATTCTCCCTATCTTTTCATCTTATGCTCCCAACTTTTATCTAACAACTTGTACCAGAATGGTAGAGATTTAGGGATAAAAGTGGCTGCTTCTGCACCTA